ATACTGCAAATGGGTTGCTTTGCATCCGCAGTTATCGAGACAAATTGAGCCTTCTTTATGAGAGATTTTCGACCCCTCCTAAATAAAACTTGTAAACACCATGGTTTTATGGTTTAATTTTCATTGGTTTAATAGACGTAAATATTCCAATCTTCGCGGCCATTTTGAAAACAGGTCTCGCGAGAGCACTACGCGAACGTACGTGATCTTGCACGAAAACGAGACTCTTCATGATACGGACCTTCAGTGCTCTACCCTACAGTCATTCGAATATCTTCTTCAATAAAAAGTTAACTTTATGTTTCAGGATTTGGTGAGGAACATCTTGATGTTGGCTCTACTCTACTTCTTGGTTCTGTTCTCCTTCGCCTGGGCCCTGTACTACCTGTACTGGTACTACACCACTGGGCACGAGATCACCTGCACCGAGGGCGCCGACTATCACGTGACCGTGAACGAGACTTACGTCAACAGCAGCTTCACCCTGGGAGCCGTGCCCTGCAATACACCTCATCCGTTCGGGACGTAGGTGGCGCTGTTAATGATAAAAAGTCTACAAATATTTTAATGATGGTGTTGGTCGTTACATGTTCAGAGCTAAAACGTTTGTTCCAACACAAAGAATTGTTCTCACGAAGAGCTTTCGACCAATCACTGTGGTCTTCTTCAATAGACTGACCCAGTGAGACTTGTCACGTGGCTTCTCAAAAGTTGGCATGCACAAATCTATTTTGTTCCGCGATGAAATTTCACCACATTTCGTTGTCATTTTTGTATTACAACGTTTAATCACAAGACATGGTGACAGCACACTCAAGTTTTCAACTTATTTTCATGCCGCCACCGACGTAAAATATGTCACATAAATAGAACAAGCAAAGGACAAATGAAAACTACTGAAAAGCACTACATGGGGGTTTCGAAAACACCTTATACTGAAAAGCACTGTATGGGGTTTTTGAGAATATTTTATGGGTATTAAGGAATACACGAAAACATTCCATTTGGAAAAGGTTGGTATTGAGACAGTCCATTTATATTTTGTATTAAGGACGGATATGGACTGGAATATAATGAATTTGCTCCCGAGGACATTTCTGATTTTCTATGTAATTCACCATATGATGATACTGAATTTGCCGCTATGTGTAATATGTCCCAAGTATGGAGAACTCCATGCGTGCCTTGTTCTTCTCTGGGTTCTTCATCATCGACGCCACGCCCCTTGACCTGACCTTGACCCGGAACGGCACGGTGATTGGCTACGGCTCCCTGATGACGTATGGCACGGGCGTGTCCATCTACTTCCTGTACATCGTGCTGCAGTGGATCCTGGCGCTCAGCGTCATCGGCGTGCTGGCGGGGTCCTTCCACAAACCCGAGGTGCTACTCTCAACGTCATCTATTTTACAGTTCTGTCACCTAGAGTTTTAGTCTCTTTATTACATTTTGTGCCCTTCTTTAATTGAGTCGTTCACCTATTTTGAGAATAATCGGCGTGCTGGCGGGGTCCTTCCACAAACCCGAGGTGCTACTCTCAACGTCATCTGTTTTCCTGGAAAAATTTTTTAGGCCATATATGCATGTTGATTTAAATATATGGATGACATCCAAGAGCGTTACATAATAATGATGAATTTTCGTCTGTTTCCAAAAAAAAAAGACCATACTAGAAGACATACTATAAATCGAACAAAGCTGCTGCAAAATGAGAAAAAATATGCCGTATATAAAAAGGAATGCCAAAATCAATTCCAGGAAAAGAAGAAAATTATTCGCCATACCATGTGTGTTTAGTCATTTGTTCAGTCTTCATGACCACGTAGATTTCAGAATGAAGGCAACGTTTTTGCCAAGCTTAATTATTCGCACGTTCGCATCAGATAAATGATGCATTTTATTTTCTTTCAGAAAGAGGATTGGATTTTTGTCCGCTCCAAGTTCATGCTGCGGTATTTCGGGAAGCAGTGGAACCCACCGGCCCCCTTCAACCTGGTGCCGACCCCCCGCGGACTGACCCGGGCAGTCACCGCCTTCCGCTGCTCCAAGTTCAGCCGCGTGCCCGTCACCAAGGTGGGACCACACTGTCTTAGTGACCTAGGGACAGTACAGATTGACTCTTTTAATCTATGTTAGAACATGGCCACTACCCCTCAGCCAATGAGAGCCCTTCATTTTCTGTCTACAGTATATCCCCATAGTGCAAAAAAATGTGGTACTATCCAAAAAAGTGTGGTGCTAAAACTCATAAAATTAGTTCCACACTTTTTAGTTAGTACAGACACTTTTTGGGTTTTAATTGAAACCAGGCCCCCCTCTGTGCAAGCTAATTATCCAAGGGACAAGAGGATTGAAACACAAACAGACCAGCTTTCTCTAAAACACATGCTGCATTGAAACTGATATTGAAGAAGAAAAACTGAAATTGAAAAAGAAAAACTGATATTGAACAAGTTAGAAAGATAACTTCGGGGAATTGGCCATGTTCTAGTCAGATAGACCATGGGCTTGGGCTCGTTTACTGGGAAATAGTGTTGCCCACCCACTCGGGGACGCCCTGACACTCTCGGCTGTCGCATCGGGAGTAAGGCAGTCCCCTTGTGGGCGGAGCAACAATATATTCCAGTAAACTCACCTGGCCCATATATGCATGGCCTATCTATAACTTCCGAGGGTACGTAGAACTCTCAGGCACTTGACACCAAGCGCTTTCAACCCGAAGCAAGGAGAGACAACGTTGATTTAAGCTCCTGTTCTGAAACAACAGAAGCTATTTCACTAATTTGCATCATCCTTAGCCTGTCTAGACTATGTCTAATTTGTCTTTACATTTTCGCACAGATCCCACGACTGAGAGATCATGAGGCACGATACAGGGTATGTACATGTTGCACTCTCGATTTCTCCTTTTGCAATTAACGCTATACTGATTTAGTTTTATTGATAACATGGCTTTTGTCAGCTCTCAAAAAAAAATCACCTCTTCCGAGGCTCTGGCCAGGTTGCCATCCTCCATAGTCCATGGCAGCTGGCGACATTAGAGAGCAGGCAGTAACTACGGAGGACGGCACCCAGGCTGCCGAAGCTCCACTGTGAACCCAAGAACTCAGGGCAGTGTCGACTCATAAATGCTGCAGAAGGCCAGCATGTGCCGACTTGTCGTAAAATAGCTATGTACCAGCTTTGTATTCCTGTGGTGTAGCAGCATTTTTGACTGGATTTTTTATTGGCCCTCTTGCATTAGTTTTGGTGTCGCCAGAGTATGTCATCCCTAAATTAAGTCAGTGTGGCCTATTGCTGTCTTGGCTCATATCAGTTCTTGCACAGTATACAGACCACATAAAGTGGACGCCTACATATGTAAAGAAAAATCATTGCAGCTCATAAAATGTTGACATTGTGTTTAACAGTTAGATATCGAGCTTGTTTAACTGTCTTTTATTTCCTCAGTTGGTTGTCCAGCGTCTGGTGAAACGTTATGTGGCTCGGACCGAACCATATGACGGGAACGTCGGGGGTGTCTTGTCCAAACTCGATCAAGTCAACCGGGTAGGGAAAGTAGTTTGAAGGCATCCAAGTTAATTTTCTGGTCATTCTTTTTACGTAGTATTAAAGTTGAAGCAATTCTATCCCATAGCATATTGATATCTTTGAGGCAAAAATACAATTATGCTGCTGACGGAAAACGGTTACTTGTTTTGTATCGTATCCTGGTTCTAGTTATTTATGGGTGGTACCCATAAATAAAGAGACGCCTCATGTAGCTTCTATGGGGGGCAATTCAAACGCTTCAAATCTGAAATGATGACGACAATGCTAATAAATCGCAGTAAATGTCAATATCAGACAGATTTCGTCATCCAGAATATTTTTCGTTATGTTGCCCTGAAATTGCATTGGATGCCTTTAAAAGAAGTTCAACAAAGAAAACAAGGAGTAGACATCTTTTACATCCATTCATGCCTTCCATACATGTTCTGCTCAAATTGTTACAGAGTAATGGTGTTTGAAAGTTTGTTTCTTTTTTTCAGTCAACCCGAAGGACCGAGGCTGCCCTGCTGAGAGGATATTTTGGTGGTAACAGACCGGTAGCGGTCAACAACAACAACAACAATTACCACAACAACAACAACCGCCAAAGCAGTGGGGTCATCAACAATAGGAATAACGACATACCAGAGGAGGATTATGATCATTTGCTTCGGCGAAGTGGAGACTCTACTGCCATGTAAAGTCTCTTTCTCTGCTCTGCTTAGTGTGTGTCCATTTCTCTGCCTCTCAATCTCTCTCTCTCAATATCTCTGTTGATCTCTCCATCGACTTAAGACTACCCTCTCTCTCTCCATCTATCTATCTGTGTGTGTGTGTGTGTGTGTGTGTGTGTGTGTGTGTGTGTGCGTGTGAGCGGATTTGTGTATGTGAGTGAGTGTTTTAAGATCTTGTCTATCAAAAGTCTCAGTGGAAAACAAACGACTTAACTGCAGTTTTTTTTTTCAAAGTTGCATGTAAAAAATACAATGATGAGCAAGCAAGTTTAGGCAGCAAGAGTTAAGCAGCCAGTTTATGGATGCATGCACTTCTATCAGCCTTTATCTGTATATTAGGTACTCGCTTTTTGCAAAGTAAGTTTATAATGTGGTGTTTTAATATTTACTTATATGATACAACAAGTAAGACAATATCGTCACTTTAGTTTGGAATATAATATCGCAGAAACATCAATATTTGTGCCCACTTGAACATATAATCTAGCAGTGACTGACCTTACTTTGACAGCCTAATGCAAAAGTCGTGTATATATATATATATGGAACTACTTCTGAAAACACAGGAAATATCTTTACTACTTTTAAATACAGACTGAACTCTCTATATTTATAATGCTTTATATTACAGTGCTTAGATGTGACGAAAAGTGTATTAGTCTTGGTGATCTGTATATTATTGCAGTATAAATCAGTAACTTCATATCAAATATGGACAATAAGATTGCAAACAGGTTTGCATGTGTAAGATATGGTGACGTTTTATTGAGTATAAAAATTGTGGAAACAGCTTGATCTATATAAAAAGTTTTAAAACTGTTCTTAAATTTAGCTGGAAAATGGTCTAATTGTATTCCACGATGCGATTTATTGAAGAAATTTTGACGAGTTATGAGAACGAGGAAGGCATATCTTCCTGGAATCTACTTTTTTCGACAAATAAACGGTGGTGACTTTGACTTTTATTCTATGTGCTTTCTTTGTGATATCATCTATGGCTCATTCTCATTGAAATGTACAGAATACCAGTAACCTAGGTTATAACATCTCACTTTGTGGCTTTTTTTGTCCAAAAATTATGGTGTTTACAGTTTTTAGCTTTAGCAGATAAGGTTTACTACTAAGTAACAAACAAAGGTTACGGGGATTACAGTCATGACTGTGAAACATTTTGTTCAACAAGGATGGCTTTAAAATGACAGCGAACACTCCTTTCTTCTTCCCTTAGAAACCCAGAAAAATGTTGTCAAAACGACAATTTCTTGTCTTACATGTGGCTCTATCTAAACTAGTCTACAACCGACTAAAATACTTGAGCGATAACGGAGGTTACAGAAATCTGCGATGGCGGAGGTTCCAGAACTCTCTAAACCCGCGGCTATAATTTCATGTCATTCAAGTCATCAACCAAACCTAGTGTTGTGGTACATTTTTCGTGAAACATTGTAAGTGCAGCGGCAAAGTGTAGTGGCAAAGTGAAGAAAGCAACGATGAGGTCCATGATTTGGCTCATACCTAAACGTAAAGCATGGCTACAGCATTTTGCACACTTGAATGGGAACGGGCCATATAATCTCAACTATGCCAAAAAAATTTACTCAAGCAACTGGATATGATTTTGGAAACGGCCAGGCGTTTCAGGTAGCCTCCACTACATTTCGTTAATGACACTTAAAAAGTAGTGGATGCTACCCAAAACGTCTGACAGTTTCCAAAATCATATCCAGTTGCTTGAGTAGTTTTTTTATGGTGTATCTTATTACCTAGATCTCCAACCATGTACCAGTAGCACTAACAGGTGTTCAAATGAAACTATCAATCCAGCGGACAAATTTGACGAGTTTGACGTATCCGCCGTACTGCATGGGCAGGCCGCAGCCCTCAGGACTGCCCCAGCTCACCAGCCCCTCCAACACCCATCTCTTCTCCTCCCCCTCTCCTGTCTGGAACACGATGGGCCCGCCACTGTCACCTGCACATGCGTCCACCTGAAAACACAGGGAGAAGAAGAAGAACGTGATCTCGATCCAGTTTTACTTCACTGAAGAGCTAATCTCCGACTGGTTGTGACAGAGAAGACAGGCGCTATGTACAGTATTTACAGGTTCATGTACCAGAAAATTTCCCTAGCTCTTTTAGACAAGCAAAATGAACATTGAACTACAGCTTAACGTCCCGGGTTTTTCAATAACGTGCATGTTGGGTGAGCTAGTGACAACAGCCGGAATTCGAACTCCCAACCTATTGGTCCAGAGGAAGGATCTATTTACAACGGTCCAAGATGTTGATGATATGTTGATACATCTTAATTAAAGGAGCATAATGTAACATTTTTGCACAAAAAATTTAAATAGTATATTTTAAAATGATATTCCTGTCATTGATATTTATTCCACTTTTGAACAAATGTGTGCAATCATCTCGCATTTATGACATTCATGGTTAAAATAACCCACACGAGGCGAACTCAGTTTGTGGTGCCACCACAAAATACCAGAATGTAAACAAACATGTGTAGTTCCTAACCTTCCCTTCCTCGTATCCAGCGCAGAACATGTTCCTGGTGACCGTCAGTCCGATGTTCTTCTCGGCATAGGCGGCTTCACACGTGTCGGGGTCGATAACCGGCACACGGGCGTGCTTTAGCTGGGCCGCCACCTCCCCGGTCTCCGTGGTACCCCAGCCGATAGCCACCCCCTCCGAACCCGCTCTCAGGTGTTTCTGTGCCGTCCTGTTCGATCAGCAAAATACGTCAACTTTAATTACAATTTAAGCATGTTTTAATGATTATTTACGACATCGCTGAATGGCTACTTAAAAACCGGAAAATAAGGATCCATCCGCACCTACGGAAAGACCACGTATTGATATTTACGTACTCGTATAAGATGGGTATTGATGCGTAAAGATGGAATATTAAAAGTTAACTTTAAGCATGGTTTAAGCATCCGTAAATACCGTTTTCGTGCCGTGTCAGCATCGAAGGTATAGTAAGTACTCTCCAAGCAGCGGTTTAGGCTTCGGCTTATTTTTGGCGTGTTTTAGGCGTTTTCAGGGGGCGCTTTTTTGTACTGTATTTTATTTTTCGACAGCCTATTTTGACCCTCCTTGGAATTGAAAAATAACTGAGTGGCAAATGGATACAGCCCTGCCAATTTGATATATATTGTCTTTGCAGCCACCAAAAGTTCTGCTTGGAGATTAGGTAGTTAGTTTGTATTTGGTATTGTAACTTAAGCCGTAGTCACGCACGTCGTATTATAACGTTTTCGTATCGAAGGATTTCCAATGTGGATATTATGACAGAACTGTATCTGAATCAACCTACTAGTAGGCCTTGTACGACGCATCCACGAATGTCTTATGAATATCCTTTTCCTGTCGTGTACACGTTCTACGATATTTGTGACAGGGGTCTTGCCAATATTTTAGGACTTGGGATAATCAGATCACGTGCAGAACACACAGAGCTTGGTCTGGTTACACTCTTTACTTTTATTATTATTTCTTCAAATTTCTTCCTTACCTTTGATATTTTGCGGGTGCTTTTCAGTATTTACACTAACAGTATGGTCGAAAACATGATCTTTTGCAACCACACGAAACTTCATGTGCACGCGGATGATATCCATATACTAGTAATAAAATCAACATGGCCTAAGTGGCATGGTCAAAAGAACATATGACAGAATGTACGTACTGTCTTGTAGGGAGGCAGACAGGCCGGACCCGGTCCGTTAGAGTGGCTCTCTTGGACAGCCGGATCAGCGCCACGTCATTGTCCAGTGTGAAGGGTTCAAACTGCCGATGGACATGGATCTCATCAACCTGAGGTAGGAAAAGTCTGGTTAGTGTCAATCTTTAAGTGGAGAAGTCAACGGTTTGGTTTAACACCACATTGTTTACCACGATATAGAGACAATATAGAAGATGAAAGTTAGACTCATCGAGGTGAGGCCATGTTGATTTGATTATATGGGTAACATCCGCGCCCTCATCAATTTTCGTCCGTTTAAAAAAGTTTTCGGCCATGCTGTAAATCGTATGCCGTAAATTTAAAAAAAAAATATTGTGTTATATAATGCCAAAATCAATTATTCTAAAAGAAAATGTGAAGACATGAAAATGAAGAGTCTTTTATTCGCCATACAGTACTCTGAAGTCTCTGAACCACTCACACCCCTACTAGTTTCGATAATTGCGGTGGGTTCTTTAACGTGGGGTGTGGTTCTCCCAAACACGGGACCTCTTTTTAACGTCCTATCCGAGGGACGTCCCTAACCGAAGCTAGGTACTAATTTACGCCTGAGTGAAGTGAGGAAAGTTGGGTAAAGGTATCAAGGTATCAAGGTAAAGTGCCTGTCCCAAGAGCACAATATCGGTGACATCGGGCAGGATTCGAACCCGGGACCTCTTTGGTCTGAGCCGAACACTCTGCCGTTGCCCCTACGATTTATACCTGAAACTCCTGCACATAGTCGTCGTCCAGCGCCTCGTCCCGGTAGAACTTCCCCAGTTTGACCTTGATGTTGTCCAGGTCGATAACCGCACTGCTGTCCGGGAAGGTCACGCAGTGCGCAGCCGTGATGATCCACTCGTCATTCAGGACGGCGCCGCCACAGATCTGAGAAAAGATGAAGTCAGAGAGGAGATGACGATAGGACCAGCTGGTTTGAGCACTGAAAATGAACAGTCTATTATTCACCATACCATGGGCACTGGCGTACGTAACTAGTGAAATGGCCATATGGGTAGAGTGCTCGCCTTGCATTCGGAAGGTCGTGAGATTGATCCCCGACCGAGTCACACCAAAGACTTAAGAAATGTAGCCCCCTGCTGAACGGTACTATGATTGCACTGTTGTGTGTGGCCCAGGGCAATTGAAACGGAGATGAACGCTGCCCTGTGCGTCACTTGATGCGGGGAAAAAACTTAACTTAATAAACGTAAGTAAGGTAGAAAGATAGTGTCCTGAATGATAAACATAGAAACTTTTGTTCCAACAGAATCGTTCTTACCTAGAGCTTTCGACCAGTCACTCTGGTCTTCTTCAATAGACTGACCCAGTGAGACTTGTCACGTGGCTTCTTTGAAGTGTGACGTCAACACTGGGTCAAAGGTATCTGGTAAATCAAGTCTCCCTGAAGAAGACCAGAGTTACTTCTTGAAGGCTCTATGTGAGAATAATCCCTTGTGTTGGAACAAAAGTTTGAACTTTAAACCGTTACAGGAAATCACCTTTCAGACTTTTCCCATTACCCAAAAATGTTCTGTTACGTACAACCATCCCCTTTCAGACCAAATAAACTCTTTAATGTTTTCCCAAGAAAGTTATGTGCTCACCAGGTAAAAGAAGATGTGTCCTGTTGAGTTCTGCACGTTCCTGAGTATGGCTGCCTGCCACGGCCACTGTCCCTCTGCACTCACGTTACCGTTAAAGATGAAGGGAGTCTTGGCACCAGGACTCTTGCCGCAAACTAGGGGCGGAAAAGGAGAACAATGCCAAACTAGACTATACCAAACTAGAGCATAGCATATGTCGAAAATAATGAAAATCCGTTGCTCCTTTCTTGAATTATCTGCTTTGAAATTTTTTTACCGAAAACTGCCCTGTAGTTTCAGAACAAGCTGCTATGGGGACCAAACCCGCACCTTTTGTTCCTAACATGAAACTCTATCAGCCTAACTCTATCAACTCTTCAATCTAACAAGTGAAGACCATAGCATGTCCAGAACAAAATATACAAAAACCGGAAGTTATGTTGCAGTACCAAGGTCATCCACCAGGAGGCCCATATTTGACCTTGACATTTGTCTTCCTACGACTTACCAACAGAACAAATATCATCACAATCCATAAAGGCCTTCTCAAGTTATGCGGACCACAACGATGCAGAAACACAGACAGACACAGACAGACACACCAAAAACAATACCTCCATTTTTCATGGAGGTAACTAGGGAGATAATCGGACTAATCCTTAAATCACGCATCATGATTACTGTTGATGAGCAGTACGTTTTCTTACAACTACATGTTTCAGTTTGAGTTTATTTGGATCCACAATTAGCATACATAGTAGCTATTTTTCTTGTGGTCCTAAATCTATACACACTACATGACGCACAGGAAAATATACAAAGCTGATAAATATACTGGCACAATAAAGAAGTTATATCTGTATCTGTATAGCCGGTATAACCGCCTTTCGGCGTAACACACCAGCTTCGCAGGCACGCGGCGCGGCGGCAGCTGGCTATATTACACCGATCGACTTGTTACACCTAACCCTTGAACTTCTAGCTCTAGACATTGTTTAAAGCTATCTATTGACAATGCCCTACTGTACTTGGTGACAGTGAGTTCCACTCTGCGATAGTTCTAGGAAAGAATGACTTCTTGAACACCTCAATCCTTGGTTGATAACTCTGGTACTTGAATGCATGGCTATTTCTTGTTCTCTTCTGGGCTGGTATATAAAAGATAACACACAATGCCATATACATCAACTAAATAATCGCTCTTGTATACATGTGTAGTAGGACCGTCCGTACCTGGTAAACAGGTGGGTTGTCTGCCGCTCCACTGCCCGTGACTCAGACATGTCCTCTGAGAAGGTCCGGACAGTTTGTAGAACTGCGACTCGCAGCTGTACACCAGGCGGGTGTGGAGTTTGTGGTATCCCGGGGGGAGACTGCGCGGCTCGGGGTCCCTACCCGCGGGATCGTCACCTCCCGACCCCTCCGCCGAAGGCTCGTCCGGGGTCGCCGCCGGGACGTGACTCAGGGGCCGCAGACCGAAGAAAGTCAGAAGCCTGCTGTTAACCCTCCTGAATCAAAAGTACAGTAAAATCATAGATTGTTTACTTATTATGGACAAGAACTTAAGTTTGTGTTTAGAACGAAATTTAGATTTACATTTGTTCACCATGTTTGATCTGTAAATCACGATTCGCGGTACATTTATATTCGCGGGTTTCGCGGTCACTTCTGTACCTCTAACTTATCATTTAATACCGTGGCTCAACGTCCAAGTGTTTTCTGTGGCCTTATTTGGTACGTATTTCGTAAATTTTACCCTATTCACGTTTTAAAGAAATACATACAACAGTTTAATATAGTTGAGTAAAAAAGGCACATACCGTCTGGGAGTACCAGACTGACCCTGTGCAGGCGGTAGGACCTTCCGTATGGCATTCAAAGGGGTGCCGGGATCCTCACAAACAGCGACTGGAATGAAAAATCATATCAAAAGGGAATCGATTATGTAACATTTTTGCACCAGAAATATTTTTATTAGAAAGCTGAAAGGAACATTTTCAAAGAAAACGTATAATGTTCTAGCATGATCTAGCATAACAAATTACTGTTTGTTTAGTCAAACACATTAATAGTCACTTGTATGGTGACCAGCCCCTCTAGCTCTGTCCTGCTACATAATATAACCCAACACTACAGGGTGTCTGCTACAGCACCAGTTACCATGGTGACAGACGTCTGGTTTAGGTCATGGACTTTACTTGTTAGGCCACACCGATTTAATTTCATGGATGACATCCTCTGAAGACCCCCAAACTAGTGCGCGCGGGCGAAAAAAATAAAAATCCAGCCAAAAATAAAAATGCGACAAAACCACAGGAATACAAACCTGGTATTGTGAATTTGGCGCATTACATAGCGACGTATACGACAGGCCGACACATGCTGGATTTTTGCGGAATATATGAATCGACACTGCTGTACGTATGTACTGAGTTCTTGAGTCTTGGAGCTTCGGTAGCCCGGGTGCCGTCAACCAGAGTTATCACCACCATGCACTACCCAGGCCTAAAGCCAGGCCAGAGCCTCGGAATACGTGTATCTTTTTTTTTTTTTTTTTTTTTGAGATCGGGCGAAAATCAATGCGCGCGCGGATGTCATCCATAAAATTAAATCGGTGTGGCCTTAGGAGAAAAAGAAGAGTAGGAGGAAGAAGAAGAAGGAACTGAGCAAAAACAATATGTTTTCTTTCTACGAAGGTAAAAACAATATGTTTCTTTCTGCGAAGGTAAAAACACTATGTTTCTTTCTGCGAAGGTAAACATAAACATAATATTGGCCTTACATTTGGTACAGACTGGCTGATGCCCGGTCCAGGTCCCGTTGGACAGACACCTCCTCTCGGGATGACCGACGATCCTGTAGGGCGGCCGGCAGGTGTAGACCACCCGCGTCCCGGTCAGGAACGTCGGCGCCTCCGAGCCGAGCACGTTCCGGTCTGCGTTACCCACGTCACCGGGGTCATCACAGGTTGTTGCCATCACTATAGGGAACAAACGCGGGGGTAAGATGCATTGCTGTATTGTTTCATTTACTTATTGTTACACTTGATGTATTGTATTACCAACTCCGGTAGACCATATCATATTATCTATATGGCTACCACATATGTTTCCTTTTGATTTGATTTGACTTTAGGTACCGTTTGTATTATGATGTTTTCTTCTCTAGGTGTCTTATAAGCCCATATGAGCTGGGCGGCGTGTATTCGCAGGACGCGTTAATAAATTTTCATTCTTTCATTGATTCCTTCATTCACTCATTCTTTTTTTTCTATTCCAACATTTATCACAAGACGGCACACTCAAGTTTTTTATTGAAACATAAATTGGCATGGTGACGACACACTCAAAACTTATTCATGTCGCCACCAACGCATAAGACAATACATAATGCATTGGACAAGCAACAAGCAAAAAGCAAAACTCAAGTTTTCTTTTTAGCTTATTTTTTTATGCCGCCACCAACACAGAAAAACGCAACGACAACAGACATACTTATTTTCGAGTGAGTGAATTCCCAAAGGCACAAGACCGTGGCAAGGCAGGATTCAAATTCGGAATCTCAAAGCTCTGTCGTTGCACCACACGACCCCACGTTCATTCATTCATACTGTAATTAAAGCCTCGGTCACAACCCGCCGTACGTGCTTTATGTCCGTACGTTTTTTGGGAGGCTACGTCTGCTACGTTTTTTCTGGAAACGTGGTGAAGGAGTGGCGTCGACGCACTCGCACGGTTGCGCAAAGTGTAATATTTAGTGTGGTCTGCACGTTACGTCTGGCCGTGAGCGGTTGTGTGCATCGTACGTTGCGCAAGTGGTATTGGTAAGTGAGTTGTACGTGCTTACAACGTACGATCTCTGTGCGATTGCAACTTTATCGTAAGGAGGCCATACTGACACGTGCTTCTTCCGCACGGCACGTACGGGGCACGCGCGTCCCTTGTACTCGCACGCACGGGTGGTGAGTCCGCAGACCGCACGTAGAAAAAAGTTTTACATGCACTTAAAGTTCTACGGCGTGTCTGCGTGCTCCCAAATCCGTAGGATTCCGTACGGAGGTGGTACTCACCACGCACGGATGCCCTACGTTTGCCCAAGTTTTTGCACGTAGACAGCACGCAGAAGCACGTACGGCGGGTTGTGGCCGTAGCTTAACTGATATAAATAGTACTGCTAAAACTGACCGCAGAGTGGCAGTTCTCCGGTCCAGTTCCCAGAGGGCCGACATTCCCTCCTCTCGTCCCCAACCAGCTCGTACCCAGTGTTGCACCGGTAGATGACGGCAGATCCCTCCCGCTGGGGCTCTCCTTCCCAGAGTCGTGAGCCGTGCACGGGCATGCCCGGGTCATCACACTGTTTCACTGGTCAAGAGATGCGTAGTTTAAAAAAAGCATCTTTCGTATTAAGCAAGGAGCTTTCATCACATCATGTGATGAAAGCTTCTTGCATTAAGGTATTCTACAGCTATACACTCAAACAAACAAAAGGATACAAATGAATTAACCCATGTACAAGTACAGGTCTGTGTATATGAGTCACTAGATCAACATGATTGTTCAGTTTGGCGTATTACTTATTACACTAATACATGTAGTCCTAAGGTATTAACATTCTTTGATGTATACATAATCGTATTGATGTCTGCTATAAATGTTCCTGGCCTGATTTGTGCTTTGAAAGTTCAAACTGGAAATATTCTAAATAAGGCAATTTTTGTGATATTGACACACAATGCTTCACATTAGCACATTTGAGTCAGCATTTCATACTTAAGGTATGTAAAACTTCAGAAACAAGCCCCAAAATGAGTCCTTTATTTTCTGGGTGGTACCCTACAAATCAGCCAAGGGCAATGCCAGTAACCATTTTATGTCAGAATTTGGGGAATTTTTGCTCCACGGGGGTCAATATACATTGGGGCAATGTGGTTTCAACTCAGCATGTAGATAAATGACTAGAATATTGGCTTTGAAAAATCGGGTTTCCAAGCCCTAAAAACTGCACTGGATGCCTTTAAGGAAATAAAAGTAGGACTTACTACATCTGGGAGGTTCTCCACTCCACCGCCCGTCAGACACACACCACCGCTCCAGGTTACCCCGCGTCCTCTCGTACCCAGGGTGGCAGCTGTACGTCACAGAGTCCCCCTCCACCGTCCCGGACACGACCATGTCGGCACGGGGGGCGTCTTCAGGCCGGCCGCAGGAAATCTCTGTTCAACACAATAACCCGATTTACACCCAGATACAAAGTGTAACATTTTGACAATCCCCCAAACTTACGGTTACGGACACTAAACGGTTTGTATTAGATTAACTCCTACATAGCCTACAAAACATGTTCTTCCTTACCATTTATTGATCCATTTCCACCCATTTGCTGTTCTCTGTTGTTTTTGTCATGTACTTTGTTATTGTATATTCGCATGTTTGGTGGTGAGCTTAAAATTAGCTATAGCTAGAGTACCTCACCACCATGTCTTGTATTGTTCAAGTTGAATTGTAAATAAGAAAAAAACACAAGAACGGAAAAAAGTCGTCTGAAACATGGTGTGCAGCGTCCTTGGTGCTGAACGTCTTTCACATGAGTTAGAATGTCAGAAAACTGGAAACTGAACAGGACTACGTTTTAAAGGAGGCCAAATATATCAGGGCAATCCAACGTTCACTTCAAAGAGAGACGGTGGACGATATAAACTCCCTGGCATGTTTAACCAATTGCTGACACCACGTACTCGAAACGTCGTGTGAATAAGGTCACGTGTCTGTAACCGTGACTCTCGCGAGATCACGTTGTGAAGTGGTTGGTCATTAATTATCCTGATGAAGGTGACAGTGGTGGTTGAAAATTTGATCATTGTGAATCCTTTTATTTAAAATAAAGTTTAGCATCTAACTATGATTACTACCAACACAGATGAACTTCCATGATAGTCTTTCACGTGAATGTATGTTCATATGATTTATCTATTAAAGTGAAGCAAACCTGGATAGATTGTTACATGTTTCTCAGATAAAACAAGGAGAAGTCGTAGACATCATCCCTCTATGAAATAGCTTGTTATTTTGTAATCTTTTGGTGTATTTCAATAGAGATATTTAATTATGAGTCAAACTTTGTTTTTATCAGCAGAATGATTTGTGGTGGCACTTTGTATTGGAAGGGGTTGCCTATATTTATCAAGCTGTCATGTGCAGGCGTTTAGTGTCTTGTTACCATGGTTTGTTTACTTTGATGGCCAGCAGGTCATTTGCCTGTACATGTAGGTCAATGACCAGACAGGCAAATGACCTGCAGACTAGACAAACAAGATTTATTACCTCAGTCCTGACATCAACAGCCTCACTAGAGAGCACACTCTAGCCATGAGAAAGGAATTTCAATGATACACAAAATTTCACCTTCAAATTACTCACCATCTGCAGACACAAATTTGAACAACTGACTAAACATGTACATCACAGACGCTACTTTGGATCAATAAACTATCATTAACAGCACTAACAGACAACCCTATAATACAACCAACCAACCAACCATAGTGAGGAGGTGAGGTCAATGACCTCTCAAGCACCCCATTCAACCGGACTATATTTCCTGCAGACTCTGTCTAGGGGTAAAAATAGATTGGGCTGTCTCAGCCTGACCTGCCAGCTGGAGGTATATAAACAAAAACACTCTAGATCTGTCCCAACTTTTGGGTCAAACAGACCATCCTATTATGAAGTAGGGGTGAAAAAATGAAAATCCTTTTAAATTAAGCAATAAAAATATACGACAACCTGCTAATGCACTCTAAGACGCAAAGAGACTCAACAACTACCCACATACCAAATATTATACCAAACGACCCACCAGATTTTCCAAACATTCAACACAAAAAGACCAACTTTAAACATATTGTAAATATCAAACGCAAACAGCTAGGAAGCCCAAATTTAAACCACTAAACCATGGTAATAACAACTACATGCTACCTTAATATCGCACAAACAGTCCATAACGCGCAAACAACAGAATAAAAAAATTAAACTGCAGTACCAAGGTCAATCACCAGGGGCTCAAAGTCAACCTACACAATCTCCAAGGCCCCATCCATCAATCTGCCAAATATCGTACAGTTCCTTCTCACCGATCTTCAGATATCAGACCAAACATGAAACGGAGTAAAAACAATACCCCCATTTTCATGGAGGGTAATAAGAAATTACAGACATACTGCAAACTGGGGCCTCTAGGCTCCATCCTCCGTCACTCTGACATCTTCTTGTCAGAGACCCGGATGTCAGCTCGTACCCAGGGTTGCATGCATACGTCACGTCCTCGCCCTCGTCTACCTGGTCTCGTCCCCGGGGTGCTCGAATGACAGAGTTTTGTGGTATGGCCGGCAAAGAACAAACGCGTACTATATATGTGGAGAAACAAAATTTGATTTAAACATTTGACAAGATTGTGAGAAAGACCATGTAGAATGACTTTATTATTAGTAGTATCAGAGGCATTAAAGACGTATTTAATTCTTTTATAAATGCATACTTATTACATGTTAACTATGACGTTGCATATTACTTAGATTAAGTACTTAACCTTACAAAACGAGTGAAGCAAAGTACGAAAAATAATAAGACAGGCGAAAAATGTCCAGACTATGCATGATGTACAAAATGACTTATAAACTGGTGGACGTACCAACTACTAGTACTAGTACGAGCTCAGAAGAACAAGATATAGACACGCCTTCAAGTACCAAAGTTTTCAACCAATATTCGAAGTGTTCAAAAACTCATTTTTCCAACAACTATCGTAGAGGTAATTCATTGCTACCAAGTACAGTAGAGGCATCGTTGCTAGATAGCTTTAAACAATATTTAGAGTTAGATGTTCAAAGGTTAGGTGTAACAGGTCTTTCGGCGTAATGTAGCCATCTGCCGCCGCGCCGCGTGCCTGCGAAGTTGGTGTGTTACGCCATGGGGCGGTTATGCTGCCTACACAGATACAGGTATACAGAAAGCTACACAAAGAGTTGTAATAATGGCATTATTAAGCATTTTGTTAATACGAATTCTCAGCCGAAACTTACCACAAGTTGGGAGGACGTCGTTCCACTGCCCATCGTACAGACAGATGATCTGAGCGCCCCCTACCAGACGGTACCCGTCATTGCACCTAAATGTGAGCTGACTGCCGATGTTGTGTTGCGAGGCGGGCGGTTGTTGTCGTTGTTGTTGTTGTCGATACCCGGTTCGGACCACTGCACCGTTGGCAGGCGCGCCCGGGTCCTGACAAACCTTCACTGTAGAACAAATCAATAGGAAAGATAGAACGTTACGTCCACAAACCCGACCTTTTGTCTAAGAAACTACCTCGATATTGTCACCGTAAAAACGCGAAAAAGTGAAAAGAAACGCATGTTAACTTTCATCGTAAACCATGGTTCGAAATACTTTTTCTCAGATTGCCCGCTGAGCAACCTAAACCAAAAGCTAAGTTGCCCATCAATGTTTCAGGTTGCTGTCAACAGGCCGTAAGTCAGGCCAATGTGTAAGCACTAAAGGTATTGCTCAGATGCTGGTCTAGGAGGGAAATAGTTTATTTCAGAAGCAGTAACTTTTGCACCGGGCAATCTGGCGTCTCCAATAAGTCTTAGACAGAAACATTGCCTTGCGCGGTGAGAGTATGAGAATGGGCAGTTCAAACCTAGTCTCCACCAGACCCCATTGCAAGCTAAATCAACAGAAATCGGCCGGAAAAGGACTGTAGCTGGCCAAAGGAAGTTATCCGGCCATAGAGGGTCCAATTTTCATTTTCCGTGCAGGTAAATTGGACCTTCTAACTTCCTTTGGCCAGGCACAGTCCTTTTTCGGCCGATTTCTACTATTTATTCATCCTGCAAAGGAGTCATGCTACCGTAGATTTTGTAAGTTCGGAATAACAGACTTTCTGATTCTTTCGAAGCTTATCAGTTACGAGTAAAACAACATCATCTCCCTGTATCTTACCACATGCCGGGAGAGGGTGGCTCCAACTCCCGGACGCTTCACACCGGGACGTGCTGGAGCCGCGCAGGACGTAACCGTCATTACACTCAAACCGGACAGTTGACCCCTCCGTGTAGCTGTCCGAGGGCCGTGACCTCAACTGACCGTTTGATGGAGTCCCCCGATCACGACAGACAACTTGTGGCGCTGGAAGACGTATAAAAGTTTTTTTTAATCATTTTTTCTTCTTTTAGGCCATGTTGATTTGATATGACATCCTCTGGGAACCCCAAAACTGATAAGAGCGTGCGAATGAAAGTTTTGCCAAAAAAAGTTGCTTTCATTCTGAAATCTACGTGGTCATGAAGGTTGAACAAATGACACAGAGTACGGTATAGTGAATTATTTACTCTTCAAAATCATTTCTTCACATTCTTGTCTTTTTAGTTTGATTTTGGTATTCTACGACGTGACATTGGTATCGTTTTTAAATATTTTTTTTGCAACGGTATATATTTTTCAACTGTTTTGTACGATTTACAGCATGGTTGACCATTTTTTTGGAAACGGCCAGAAATTCATGTGCGTGCGGATGTCATCTATATAATCAAATCAACATGGCCTTAATAGTACATATGAACGGTGATTGTAACTGCACACACGCACACGCTTTTGCTGTGTCGTTCAGGTTTCCAAAGGTAAAGTGGAATTGAGGCCATGTTGATTTGATTATGAGGATGACATGAAAAGTTTTCGACCAAACTGTACAAACCGTAAATCGTACAAAGCAGCAGCAAAATGAGCGAATGTATGCAGTAAATGTCAACAAAAATATTGGAACATGATAGTAATGCCAATTTCAAAGACAAGAAGAAAATGTAAAGAAATGAAAATGAAAAGTCTATTATTCACCATACCATACTCTGTTTAGTCTTTATCCAACCTTCATGACCACGTAGATTTCATAATGAAGGCAACTTTTTTGCTAAACTTCTTTATTCGCATTCTCGCATCAGTTTTAGGGCATCAGTTCCCAGAGGATGTCATCCATATAATCCAATAAACATGGACTAGGTACAAAAAAAATTACATGTGTGCATTATTGTACTGACAAGTTTTGAGAGAGAACTAACCGACTTCGTGCTGGCAGTATCGACCGTGAAACGCCGCGGAACATTCGCAGCTTCCGTCCGGCTTACAAACTCCTCCGTTCCGGCAGTTACAATCTGAAGGGTAAAGGTAGTAGAAATCATACATGATAGCTCATAAAACATCAAGAACACGATCACAAAGTTGGGATAACAAATACAAAACGTACAATGGACACAAAATGAAAACGGCTGGCGTACAAAAGAACTCGTAACATTAATGTGATCAAAAAAATCATCCAGAGAATGAAATGAAGTTGAACACAATATCGAAGATGGGGTAATTAGTAGAGTATGGGAGGGAGGGGCTACCAGTAAGAAGTAAAGTGCATAATGTAGTGTCATTTGAGTTCAGTGACCTAACTGAAATGATATCGCAGTGGGTCAAAACTGGAGTAGTATGTTTTCCAGATGTACATTTTTAAGCAGGATATGAATAACGACATTTGAGTCCTTTCAGTATAATAAAGTTTGCAGTGCAAGAAGTAGTGCCCTGATCTCTCATTTCGATGCCCACGTACATTTGCATTTTCTATTGTTCGCACAGTATAACATAGTACAACACAAAGTACTAGCGCACTCAAGTATCTAAGACTTATTTCAACGCTACTACTTACACATAACGAAATACGATGCTTTAATATAAAGACTTATACTGACCTACTGTGCAGAACTTGCCGTACCTGTTGTACATGTGTACTGACCTAAGGTGCAGAACTTGCCGTACTTGTTGTACATGTGTACTGACCTAGTGTGCAGAACTTGCCGTACTTGTTGTACATGTGTACTGACCTAGTGTGCAGAACATGCCGTACTTGTTGTACATGTGTACTGACCTAGTGTGCAGAACTTGCCGTACTTGTTGTACATGTGTACTGACCTAGTGTGCAGAACTTGCCGTACTCGTTGTACATGTGTACTGACCTAAGGTCCAGAACATGCCGTACTTGTTGTACATCTGTACTGACCTAGTGTGCAGAACTTGCCGTACTTGTTGTACATGTGTACTGACCTAAGGTACAGAACTTGCCGTACTTGTTGTACATGTGTACTGACCTAAGGTACAGAACTTGCCGTACTTGTTGTACATGTGTACTGACCTAAGGTACAGAACTTGCCGTACTTGTTGTACATCTGTACTGACCTAGTGTGCAGAACTTGCCGTACTTGTTGTACGGACACCTGGCGCAGCCGTCAGACTCCCCGTACCTGACGTCACGACATTCGGCACAGTACCGGTACTGCGGACAGATCTCACCGTGATCCACGTCACCGCACGGCCGGCAGTACGGCTTCCAGCGGTAGAAAGCTGCACACCTGCGGGTAGATATTGAATACGCGCATCGGTATTTGTTCAAAGCCTACAGATACAGTACCATTGAAGACGTCAAATGTAATTTCAGGGCATTATGTTTATTTAGTACACTAGTAATACCAGCTAAAAAGGGTCTGAAAACACTGAAAATGTGGATTAATTGGACCTCCGTGGACTTGCCTATTGTTCTTGGGATTTTAAAGGATCTTCATGAGACTTCCCCAGTAAAACGCATGTTTACTTCTTTTCCGTTGTATTTTGTTTTGGAAACTTTGCTTTTATTACGTATGTGCAAATAGATAAAATCAGCGTATTACAACTATCTCTCAACAGAGACGGGGGGCGCCACAGACTTTCCGCAACCTATGATCCACTGCTCACGGAGTCACGTGTGTTATCTGCGTGACGTCACGGAAGCGGTGGATTGCTCATTCCTTGAAAAAGACTGGAGTTGTACAGTCAAAAATTTGGGTAAGTCCAATTTCTTGTGTTGTGGTATTATATTACTCTTCAAACTTGTTTCACAATCAATCAATCAATCAATCAATCGGTCAATCAATCAAACAATCAATCAACCAAACCATACAGAAGTGACTCACGCCTTGTATGAGATGACGAAGCTGAGACCGGTGGACCCACACGCACAGGACTCGGTCTCCACGTCACACAGACCCCCCACGTCGAGATCAAACGTCGTGACGCCGCTACTCAACAGCAGCACGGCCGATACAACGGTTAGACCTGGAAACATGGCAGAGAAACGAAAAAAATTTCATCAGGTTGGTAGGTTATAGAGATTTTCTTCTTACACAACAGGTAATGTTTCTCACCTGCTTACGCTTCAATGCCTGTCAGGTACCTAGACATAGAGGATAACAGAGCGTTTGGCTCGGAACCAAGCGGTCCCGAGTTCGAATCTTGTGCCCTTGGGAAAGGCACTTTTTACGAATTTCTTCACTTTACTCAGGTGAAAATTAGTATGTCTGTTGACCATGCGTTTGTATGCGTTGGTGTCGCAAGTTTTTGTAATAAAGGTTGGAAAAGAAAAAAAATAATTTCATCCGCCGGTTGATAAGATATAATAGAGATTTTCTTCTAACACAACCATTAGTGTTTTTCTCATGCTTAATGGTTCGATGCCTGTTAAACACATAGGCAGCTAACAGAAGAATCCACTGCATCATTCTTATCCAGACGCTGGACTGGTCTGGGTAAGAAAATCAACCCCAGTGATGAATCGGGGCGAGGGAGGATACAAACTTAGCCACGTTTGGGATTGTGTTCACGCCACAAAAGTGCGCCACCTATATTGGCTACCGTATTGGGCGAGAAGCAGTACTCTAGTCAGAAGCTCTGAGGAGGGTGTCGAAAAGACATAGAAACGTTAAGCAGGTGAGAAACACTAATGGCTGTGTTAGAAGAAAATCTCTATATCCTATGACGTCGACAGAAAGTTTGACACGTAGGGGTTAGGAAGCAGTTAGCAACAGTTAGAGTAAAAAGTGGCCAAATAGACAGATGGTATGTAAGGGTAGCTCTGAGAGAGAACAGTTTGCCGCTCCCAAGACATTATAAATCCGCATATAAACCAATATTTTTCCAATAGATTCATTGAGTTATGCATTTTTTAAACAAAAGCTAGAATGTCGTGATCTAGTCATGAAAAACAGCGTTTTTTGACGCTTACAAGTGTAAAGCTTTCGAACAATTACAAACAATTTGGGAGAGGCAAACTAGACCATTCTTAGCGCGGGCCAAATCCTCTTGTCTACTTGGCCAGTTTCTCCTCTTTTCAGCCACTTCCCGAAACCTGTTAGAGGCTGTGATCCCGGCGGGAAACGTGTTATCGTGATGCCAACAATCCTTCCAGAAGTGCATGCCACTTCTGACTGTGATTGAAACCAGATTTTGCATCGTGGGATCTTGAAGCTTGAAGGCGTGCCAACCGGGAACTTCCTTGTTTTGCAGTGGTTTCTTAGTAAGCAAAGTTTTATCCGGGCCAATCTTTAAAGGCACCCAGAGCGGTTTCAGGGCAGTAAAACTGGATTCTACAAGTCAATCTCCTGGTTATTTTTTGAATCTAATAAATTGAATCAATCCTATCCCATAGCATACTCATATCTGTGAGGCAAACATGCGAAGTTGCTGACGCAAAACTTTTGACTATTTTTTATCGTAGGCTGGTTCTAGCTATTTATGGGTGGTACTCAAAAATAAAGGGACTTCTCACATAGCTTTTTGGGGCCAGGGGGCCATTTCAAACGCTTCAAGTATGAAACGATGGCAAAAACATGCTAAAAATGACAGTAAATGTCGATATCAGACAGATTTCCTCACCCAGAGGATGTTGTTGTTGTTTAGTCACCTTGAACTTGGATTGGGCACCCTTTTTCTAGTCAATAAAGAATCCATAATAACAGGTTTGTTGCAAAACCCTGTTCGAGGGCCGGCCGACAAAATTTTGAACTCCAGTGAACTTCCCCTTGAAAGGTCATGCTGACTCAGGCAACTTTCGGCTGAAGACATCACGCGACAGTAGCCTCCTTCGCAGACTTGTGGGGTGGCGGCGTTTGATTTTTCTTCGGGGAGAGACGCGAGTTTGCTAGCCTCTACCAGGCTTCGGGAGGCGGTTGGAAAGAGTAGGAATCGCCCAACTACTGAACTAGAGAGATAGCATGCCAAGAGAGAAGGTCTGCTGGAGAGAACAGTTTGCCGCTGATCCCAAAACGTACTCTCTAGCGGACCAACTCTCCTGGCGTGTTATCTCTTTATTTGACCGATTTCTACTCTTTCCAGCCGCATCCCGAAGCCTGGTAGAGGCTAGAAGTTTGCCAAAAGAGAGAAGTTTTCACCGCCTAACTGGCATAACTCGCGTCGCTCCCCCCAGAAAAATTAATGCCGCCACCCCACAAGTCTGCGAAGGAGGCTAACGCGACAAACTTCGAAGACAAGGAAGTACCAAGGAGCTTTCTGTTTCAAGTTCCTTACTTGGAAGTACTCAGTATTCAGCCTGCCTTCCTCCAAGTTTTCAACCTCCTTGGCTTCTTTGAATGGTTGACAACCATTCAAAGAAGCCAAGGAGGTTGAAAATCAAACTGAATAGGAAACAATACGCCATGTCTGCAAGATTTCGCGCGCGTCGTCTCAACAATAAAAGAACCACAGTCTTGCAAACTCTCAAGCCAAAAGGGCAACGGGGGGGTCTTTTACATTTGATTTAGCTTCTCACAGTGTCGAAAACAAGCTTAAGAATGCATGTGTTGAATTAGCCTCTACCAGGCTTCGGGAGGCGGTTGGAAAGAGTAGAAATTGGCCAAATAAAGAGATAAAATGTCAGGGGAATTGGTCCGCTGGAGGGTACAGTTCGCCGCACTCTCTAGTCTAGACAAGGAAGTTGGTCCGCGCCCGGCATGTTATCTATCTTTTGGCCAATTTCTACTCTTTCCAGCCGCCTCCCGAAGCCTTAGTAGAGGCTAGTGTTGAATGACTGTGTAGTTGCAGTTAATATTAAAGTCCTCTCAGTGTAATTTCTTTCCGGACATTATACAGAACTTAGTTTAACTAATACAACAAGCTCAGCATTCTTATTGGAAAGTTATATGGCCTGATAGTGATAGTCTCCACCAGACTTCTTTTGCAGGCTGAATAAATCCTAGAAATCGGCCTAAAAAGGGTATTAATTGGCGAATTTGATCGTCGATGGCCGGCCACCTTCTCTTGCCAATTAATACCATTTTGGGTCGATTTCTACGATTTATTCAGCCTGCAAAAGAAGTCTGGTGGAGACTGTAATAGTGATACGACGCGTGGATTTTCGCACGTATGGAGTTTACCCGACGATAAGTTATCAAAAGATAAACACCAAACACAAACACTGATTAGCACAATTGTAGGCAGTGGCTAGCAGATAACTCGATCAACTCACCTTGTACATGAGTCATGGTGGCCAGTCTCAGTCACGGCGTTCTTGTTCGAACTGCGGAGGAAGTTCAAGTGATGACTTTGCCCTTCTGTGCTTTCTTTTTGAGTAAGCTTTCCGCCGAGTGCGCCTGCGCCCAGCTCTGACAGACAGGGGAAGGTCCTGACACCTGGTGACGTCATGCAGGGACGGGCACAATAACAGGAAGTGACGTCACGAAATTATAATACCATGGCAAGGGCTCAAGTTCCGAGAAGGCATGAGGGGTAGTCTCAGGAAATCCCTAGTTGTAGCTGGTCCAAAAATTGTAGAACATGTTGACTTGATTATAACATCCATGCGCGCACGTTTCAACTGTAAAATGAGCAGATAAAATTCATAAATAGCAAAACAAATACCTGTATTGGAAAACAATGCTAATGTCAATGCTAATGCCAAAATACAAACCTATTTAGGAAAAGACGATATTGTGAAGAAATGAAAATAGAAGAGTCTAGATCTATCATTCGCCATGCCATATTAGTATAGTTACCTTCATAACCCCTTGTTTTGCCAATTATTTTATTCGCACGCCCGTATCAGTTTTGAGGTCCCCACAGGATGTCATCCATATAATCAAATCAACATGGCCTTAAGATGAATAAAACCGGACATCCTCAAGGCACAAAACCTAATAGATAAGATAAGCCCACCCTTCATGCCCTTCTACACACTGCAGGGACATTGTTCAACAAGTTGACAGACTTCCCGTTTCCTTTACAATACCTGGATGGTTCTAAGCTTGACAATGTGCAAAGGAAAGGTGGTGGCTGTTATAACATATCTAGGCCACAGCAAGTAATTTTTATGGATGGCAGCGCACGCATATATTTTCGCCTGATTTTGGAAAAAAACAAGAAATTTTGTTGCCCTCTGACAGTGGTCACCATGCCGAAAATGGGCAAAGATGTCTGTTGCCATGCCGGAAGGTGGATGGCAGATAACTATGAAGAGAGGAGCCAAGAAAAGGCTCTGATTTAATGTTTTGTTTCTTACTTTGATGCAGTGATATGTGATGCTGGCTGTGTATATGTGATGTTCCCATTGAATCAAAACCATTTGTACAATGATTGAGTCAAAATTTTAAAATGTAGGAACCTTGTTTTTTTCGGCCCGCCTTGTTTTTTCACCCGCTTGCATTAGATTTGGAACCTGCCGCGGAAGTCATCCATAAAATTTACTTGCTGTGGCCCTATGGAAAATACAACGTTGAACTATTCACAGCAATATATCATGTTCTTATCTCCGTAAAAAGGAACGTTACCTTCATAAAAATGAGGACAAAGGAAGGAAAGGCTGACACAAATTCACTTTTATTGGCATTTTTTCTTCAACGTATGCCTTTGGGGGCTATGTTGAAATACAACTGGTTTGGAGTCCTTTTTGCAGCAATATATCATGTATTAAGGCCACACCAATTTAATTTCTTGGTTAATGGATTCGCCCGCTTCATGTTTTTATGATTTGCAAAAAATAAAAATTCAGAATCAACTGCAAAATGATCATATTTCTTCCTAGTTGTTACAGTTATTCCATCTTTCAATGCAATGGTATCATTAAAAGTCCAAAATTCATTGTTTAAATTTTGAACCAGACAGTTGTGTTGACTTCATGGCTCCTATCGTACCATTTTGGGCCATAATAGGATGCCTAGGCCTGTTTTTATATTTTTTTCGCCCGCCCGTTCCATTATTTATCTACAAAAAATCCGTTAACCAAGAAATTAAATTGGTGTGGCCTAATCACCATTAAAAAAAACAATGTAATTACCTTTATAAAAATGAAGACCAAGAAAGGAAAGGCTGACACAAATGCACTTTTATTGGCATATTTTCTTCAATGTGTGTGCATGGGGGGGGGGGTATGTTGAAATACAACTGGTTTGACCTCTTGCACTTTCCCACCCAAACAATTATACAGATTGAAATTGTTTAAAGTAACTCATTGACAAGTAAAGTACATTTCAACAGATCTGAGTTTGGTTTGTCAGATTGTTTTCCAGTGAAGAATGGTTTTAAAGTTCCCAAAATTCCAAATAGAACTTAGGCCACACCAATTTAATCTGTTGGTTTACGGATTCACTCCATTTTTTTTTCTGATTTGCACAAATAAACAAAACATTTCAGTCTCTGAATCTGAATCAACTCGAAAAGGCTAATATTTTGGCCCCTACAGTTAAAGGAAGTCCCTTCTCTTCAGAGTTGTTACAGTTTTTCCATCTATCAATGTAGTTGTTTGATTAAAAGTTTGAAATTCATTGTTTGAATTACAAACAAGCCTGGTATGTTAACTTCATGGCTCCTATCATAGCATTTGGGGCTATCATAGGATGCCTAGGTCTGTTTTAATATTTTTTTCGTCTTATCGCTTCATATTTTTTCTGAAGAAATCCAAGAATCAAATTGGTGTGGCCTTAGCAACTAATAAAAATACAGATGCTTTCATGATATTCCTCTTCAATGAACATAATGTATTTGTATTGAGTGTATATCATACACTTGCAAACATTGCCATTAACTAGGGACTAGAAGTTGCATTGGTAAGGCCTTGGTAAAAATACAATGTAGCAACCTAAGTAGTACTACACATATCTGTTAAGAGACAATCATACGAAAATGATACAAATCATACAAATGGCTTTGCCACATAGGACAATATTTTTTGTCATTTTTTAAAAAATAACAATAATTAATAATAGATAACAATACAGGCAAATTAAATTAAGTACATGCACTTGTAAATGCTTTGTCCATGTTTGGAAAATCAACACTTGTCATCATCAGTCATATGACTTGTGTTATTATTGGCCATACATATTCTAAAATATTATAAGCAAATATAACTTCACATATATATCATATTCCTTATGCTGTACAACTTTGGACATCTGCAGAGTACTAGTAGCAATCACTAAATAATAAAAGGAGTTTAAATCTGGTTTGGGCGCTAAACTTTTTTTTGCCATCTTCTTGACAAGGTTAGGCCACACCAATTTAATTTCTTGGTTAACGGATTTTTCTAGAAAAATAATGGAGCGGGCGGGCGAAAAAAAAATAAAAACAGGCCTAGGCATCCTATTATTGCCCAAAATGGTACGATAGGAGCCATGAAGTCAACACACCAGGCTGGTACAAAATTTAAACGATGAATTTTGAACTTTTAATGATACCATTGCATAGAAAGATGGAATAACTGTAACAACTAGGATGAAAAGGACTGTTTTCAACTGTTCAGGGCACAATATGAGCATTTTGCAGTTGATTCTGGATTTTTATTTTTATTTGCAAATCAGAAAAAAATGAAGCGGCGAATCCGTTAACCAAGAAATTAAATTGGTGTGGCCTTATAGAACCTTGTTTCTTTGATTTTTTACATTTATTGACACAATCACAGGAACATGGCAAACAATTTACAATTCCCTACAATATTGGATATACTCCATTGGCAATTGTTTAATTTCACCAGGGGTGCCAGAATATACAGTGCAATTTTACAGAATACAGTGCAATTTTACTAGACTGTCTAGGTATACAGTGCAATTTTACAGAATACAGTCCAATTTTATGGAATACAGTGCAATTTTATGGAATACAGTACAATGGAATAGTATGCAGTGCAATTTTACGGGATACAGTACAATCATATTAGTATACAGTCAATTTTACTAGTATACAGTGCAATTTTACTAGTAAAATTACACTGTATACTAATACGAGTGCACTGTATTCCATAAAATTGCACTGTATTCCGTAAAATTGCACCGTATTCCGTAAAATTGCACTGTATTCTGTAAAATTGCACTGCTGTATTCCATAAAATTGCGCTGTATTCCGTAAAATTGAGCTGTATTCCGTAAAATTGCGCTGTATTCCGAAAAATTGCACTGTATTCCGTAAATACTCTGGAACCCCTGTTCACTATAGCATGACTGACATAGCAACCATATGAGCCATTGGTCTGGTATCATGCCTTATCCTGAGTTAGTTTTCCTGCTTAGTCTAAATTAAGCAAGCTACTTTCAATTTGATCTGCGGCTCCTCATATACCACAACCTTTGACCTCTATCTGCATGCAAAAGCAAGAAATCAGCCCTATATTTTAGCTCGGTGAGAAAGAAGAAGAAATTTGTCCTTTGCAAGCAAATAGAGGTCAAAGAAGAGAAAGTCACAATATTAACATGGCAGCACATTTCATAAGGCCACACCAATTTAATCAATTGGTTCATGGATTTGCCCGCTTCATTTTTTCCTGATTTGCAAAAAAAAAAAAAAAAATTCAGAATCAACTCAAAATGCTCATATTTTGAGCCAAACAGTTGAAGAAAGCTCCTTGTCTTCCTATAGTTGTTACAGTTTTTGCATCTATCAATGCATTGGTTTGATATTTATTGTCATAATTATAAACCAGCCTGGTATGTCAACTTCATAGATACTATTGTTACTTTTGGGGCTAGCATACAATGCGTAGGCCTGTTTTAATCTTCATTTTTTTGTCATGTTGCTTCATATTTTTTCCCAAAAAAATCTGAGAACCAACAAATCAAATTGGTGTGGCCTTATAGTTACAAGCATTTGGCAAGTTCGACCTCTCACAGCAGCAGCAAGTGTATAGAAGACATACTTTGGCATGAAGGACCATCAGTACTTCTACGTCTTTTTTTTCTTGGTCAAACATTTAGCATTCATAAGAGACTGCATAGAAGCTGTTGGTGAAACAGTTTCACAGTGCATGAGATACAGCTGGTATAAACAAGGCAAATGCTATAGGTTAGACTACCTAGCCTCCTTCGCAGTCTTGTTGGGTGTCGGCGTTATTTTTTCTCTGAGCGACGGGAGTAATATGCCGCCGCGAGGGACAATTTGCTGCCGAGGGAGTTTTTGCCACGGAGAGGTTTCGC